ACCATTTCCAATAGAACCTAATTCATTGTTAAATTCACTCTTATTTTAGCTTAACAATTAAGTCATTTTTAATACATTCAAATCATGTTTAGCTCTGTGATAATATATTGAATGAAATAGTTTCAAGAAACAAAGTATTTCCTGGGAGAATTTGTTACCTGGAAATAATTCTTAATGTGAAGGGACTGGGAGTAAGTTAATAAGAAAAACAGTCACTTTGTGAAAAATGATCTTTCTGTATGTCAGATAAATGTTTGTAGGTAGAAAGTTGAATATCTGAATTTTTATTATGGTTTAATAGCTATTTGCTGAAGGCCCAGTCCCTGCTACAATACAGTAGATGTTCAGTACACGTTAATTGTATTTCATCAGTCAAAAACAATGTTTATGGAGTATTTAAACTATTATTTATTTTTTAAATTCTGTGTTTAAATAAAATACCCATAGTAAAAAAATATAATCCATGCCATGAGAAAGTTTAAAAAGTAAATACTTCTCTTTATTCTTAGTCTTACACTCAGGACATAACCAAAGTAAAATTTTTGGTCTGTCATTGCAGACAGTATGTATACCTATACACGCATTTATTTGTTTAAATCCTTCATTTTCATTTAGACAAATAGTATCATACTAAACCTATCATTCTATACTTTGTTTTCTTTTAATATGTCTTGGACATTTACTGCATTTTGCTGAATTATGTAGTTGTACCATATCTTATTTATCTGCCTCTTCCCTGTTCTTGGACATTTAGTTCCTATTTAAATTTGTTGTACAACACTCTTGAAACAAACATATGTAGTATTTTAAAATTTGTTCATAGTTATTGTCAAATGCCCTTTCAAAACTACTGCTTTTCATTCCTACCAATAGTGCATGAATGTCTCTGTTTCCCCATACCCTCAAGTACTGAGGAAGTCAGATTTTGGCAAATGTTAAAATATTTGTCAAACTGCTAGATAAAAATGGTGTCTCATTATTTTCAGTTGTGTTTTTTATTCAAGAGGTTGAGTAACTTCATATGTTTATAAACTCATTTTTATTTTCTTCCTCCTCTTATCATTTGTTCATCTCTTTCTATTTATTGATTTGTAGAAGCTCTTTATATCATAATGTTTGGCCACTTGTCATATTTATTGCAGATGTTTCCCCCCTAGGTTGTCAGTTGTCTGTTTCTTTTCTTGTTTTATAATCTTTTTCAGCCTTACAGAAATTAAAAAATTTTATATACTCTTATTGACCTTTTCCTTTATGGCTTCTGTATTTAGTTATGTTTAGATATATATTCCCACCTCAAAGACTATAACTCTATATAACTGTAGTTACATTTTTGCTACAATTTTTTCATCTACATCTGAGTTTTGATTCCTATGGGAGTTATTTTAGTATAAGGAGAGATGTGTGAATTTAGCTTTTTATTTTTTTCCAAATGACTAACCCTGTAGTCTAATACTATTAATTGAAAAGTTCACCTGTTCTCCACTGGTTTGAAATGTCATCTTTATTACATATTACATTCCAGTGTGTATTTGAGGTTATTTCTGGACTTTGTTCTGTTAAGTTGGCCTGTCTCTTCTTTCTTTTTGTACTATATTTAAAATTATATTGCTAATATTTCATCAACCAATTCTTTAAACTGCTTATGATCCTTTTGTGAAAATAAAAGAAGTGATTTGTTTGTAGTTACTGAGATTAGAAGATGTTACAGGAATTAGGTCGGTAGAGATTTTGGAAATAGTAAAGTTTATAGTCCCAAGTCTCACCTTAAGTATCTGACTTTGTATAGCTAGTATCTTACAGAACTTCTTTAGTTACCAGGCAAATGGGATTCCTATTATTATTATTATAGGTTGGTTATAGAGAAATTTATTCATCAGTTTGATGTTTTAGTAGTTTTAGAAGGTTTTGTTTTATATTTCTCTAATAATTAACGATGTTGAGAATCTTTTCATGTGCCTGTTGGCCATCTGTATGTCTTCTTTGGAGAAATGTCTGTCTAGATCTTCTGCCCATTTTTTGATTGGGTTGTTTGTTTTTTTGTTATTGAGTTGTATGAGCTGTTTGTATATTCTGGAAATTAAGTCAGTCACATCATTTGCAAGCATTTTCTCGCAGTCTCCCAGTCCGTAGGTTGTCTTTTTGTTTTTTTAATGGTTTCCTTTGCTGTAAAAAAGCTTTTAAGTTTGATTAGGTTCTATTTGCTTATTTTTGCTTTCAATTCTATCAGTCTGGGAAATGGATCCAACAAAATATAGCTGCAACTTAACATCAAAGAGTGTTCTGCCTATGTTTTCCTCTAGAAGTTTTAGAGTATCTGGTCTTACATTTAGGTGTTTAATCCATTTTGAGTTTATTTTTGTATATGGTGTTAGAGAATGTTCTAATTTCATGTACATCCAGCTAGCCAACTTTCCCAGCATCACTTGCTGAAGAGATTGTCTTTTTCTCCATTGTGTATTCTTGCCTCCTTTGTTGTAGGTTAATTTACCATAAGCGAACGGGTTTATTTCTGGGCTGTCTGTCCTGTTCCATTGATCTGTGTGTCTGATTTTGTGCCAGTAGCATATTGTTTTGATTACTTTAGCTTTGTAGTATAGTCAGACATCAGGGAGTGTGGTTCCTTCAGCTCCATTCTTCTTAAGATTGTTTTGACTGTTCTGCGTCTTTTATGCTTCCATAAAATTTTTAATGTTTTTTGTTCCAGTTCTGTGGAAAATGCCATTGGTAGTTGATAGGGATTGCATTGAATCTGTAGATTGCCTTGGGTAGTATGGTCATTTTAAAAATATTGATTCTTCCAGTGCGAGAACACAGTGTATCTTTCCATCTGTTTGTGTTATCTTCAGTTTGTTTCATCAGCATCTTAGAGTTTTTGGAGTACAAGTCTTGCCTCCTTTGGTAGGTTTATTCCTAGGTATTTTATTCTTTTTGATACAATGGTAAAAGGGATTGTTGTCTTAATTTCTCTTTGTGATATTTCATTGTTACTGTATAGAAATGCAGCAGATCTGTGTATTTTGTATCCTGCAATTTTACTGAACTTGTTGACCAATGTCTTAAACAACAAATTTATTATCTCACAGCTCTGGAGGCTTAAAGTCTGGATCAAGATGATGTCAGGGTTGCTTCCTTCTGTTGCTTATGATGGTATGCTAGTAATTTTTGGCATCACTTGGCTTATATATGCATCATCCCGATCTCTGCATTCATGTTTACATGGCGTTCTCCCTGTGCGTGTGACTGTGTCCTGATTTTCTCTTTATAAGGAAACCAGTCATATCAGATTAAGGGTCCGTTCTATTCCAGTGTGACCTCATCCTAACTAATTATACCTCCAATTACCCTATTTCCAAATAAATTCAAATTCTGAAGTACTTGCAGTTAGGGCTTCAACATCTAAATTTGAGAGCATGTAGTTTAACTCATAACAAAAAGTATCAGAGTTAGGACTAGAACTCAAGTCTCCCAATTCCCACCTGATGTTATTTTATCACATGTCATTGAGCATAGGAAAAATACATATATAGTACATTTTATTTTGTGTTAGACTTACAGGAACATGACTGTTAAATACTTACAAATTGTAACTCTTTAAAATTTGTGATTTACTATTACTGTCTTCTGTTAAATCTTTGTAATAAATATGGTCCATGTTTTAGCATTCAAGTTTCCTTAAAGCAAGAAATACACAAAATTTCTAAATTTGTGTGCTTAAAATAGCAAGAGGCTTGTTTTCTTAGTTTTTCTGGAGGTTAAGATATTATAAGATAATGGCTATAATTCCCTGTACTGTACATATTTAGTGTTTTTTATTTATCATCTTTTTATCTTTTAAAAAATATTTTTATTGAAATATAGTCAGTTTACAATGTATCAGTTTCTGGTGTACAGCATAATGCTTCAGTCATACATGAACATACATATATTCGTTTTCATATTCTTTTTCACCATAAGTTACTACAAGATATTGAATATGGTTCCCTGTGCTATATAGTATGAACTTGTTGTTTATCTGTTTTATATATAGTAGTTAGTATGTGCAAATCTCAAACTCCCAATTTATCCCTTCCCCCGCCCCGTAATCTTAAGTTTGTTTTCTATGTCTGTAAATCTGTTTTGTAAATAAGTTTTTTTTCTTTAAGATTCCACATATAAGTGATATCATATGGTGTTTTTCTGTCTCTTTGTGGCTTACTTCACTTAGAATGACAATCTCCAGGTCCATCCATGTTGCTGCAAATGGCATTATTTTATTCTTTTTTATGACTGAGTGGTATTCCATTGTATACATATACCACAACTTCTCCATCCAGTCATCTGTGTTGATGGACTTTTAGGTTGTTTCCATGACTTGGCTATTGTAAATACTGCTGCTTTGA